AGCGGCCATGGCTCACGGGCCCACCCGCTCCGCGGCATGTGGGATCTTCCCAGACAGGGGCACGAACCCGTGTCCCCTGCATCGGCAGGCGGACTCTCAACCACTGCGCCACCAGGGAAGCTCTCAAGTGTCCATCTTGAACATCAAGTCAGTGAAGCTCCCCGTCCCCCAGCCTGGGTTCTCCACGAGTGGTTTGGGTGTGCAGACCCGGCCTGTCGGCCCCTCTCCAACCCCTCTCCACCGAGCATCCCCATCCCTCCGGCCTGCAGTACAGCGCAGAGCCGCTGATTGAGGAAAACAGCAGCAGCAGACCAAGCCCACAGCACAGCCCAGAGTCCACCCAAACAACCCCTAACCCAACACCACCCCTCCCCGGCCGGGAACCGGGCCCCTGTCCTCTTCTCCCGCAGCCTCGTGGTCTTCTAGAAGGATCATGGGCCTTCGGTCAGGCTAACCTAGATCCCGGCCAGTTTAACCTGTGCGTCCTTGTGAAATCGTTATATCTTTCGAGGCCATAGTCCCTCCCCCTTTAAAGAGGGACAATAACACCCACCTCACGGACAGGGTTATTGTGAGAATCAATATCGTCCGTGATGTCCCAGCATCTTGCACAGGTAGGAGGTGCAGAGCAAATATACTTTGTCTTCTTCCTTCTCACAACCTTCCCCGCGGATCGCTTTATACCAACCCCAAACTAGAAATCTCCCGCCGTCCAAGGCAGCCGCCAAACATCAAATACTACGTCTCACTCACTCAAATACACCCTGCACGTGTGGACACGTATCAGATGGGTTTTAAAGAAGGCCCTGCAGCTCAAGGGTCACTGCGGGGTGTGGAATATCCGTGGAAGCTGACGGCCTACTCCATCCTCTGTCCCTTTCTATAAGCACCACGGGGATGTGACCAGGGCGGTGGACGGTGCCAGCCTGTTTCCCCCAAGAAGCAATTCAGACTGCAGCCTGGGAACAAAAGAGAAGGTTTCAAGGCCAGTCAGTAGGCTGGCATCTAGGGAGGGAAAGGATATTTTTTTTAAAAAGAAAAAGGAGAATGCTATAAGGAAAATCCGTATCTGTTGGGTTAAAGTTCACTCTGCCATCTCTATTCAGCCCAACCAAGAGACACACCTATCCGGCTGGCTGAAACGAAGGATGCATACCTGAATGCCTGGATCAGGTTGAACATCTCCATCCCCTGCAATGTGCTAGAATGAAATATGCTCTGGGCTGCAGATTTTGTTTGACGGCTGCACGTAAATATAAAGAAAACCAGCTACACTGCATACATTTAAAAATTCTTGGTTCAGTTCCTCCCCGACCCCGCCCCATCCCAAGCTAAACTGCAAAAAGCTATGACGTGTAATTCCAGAAACAGTCACCAGAGGGCAGCACTAGACAAGCAGACAACTATCTAAGAGGAACGAAAGATCGGTTACTACGGCTCGTGGAAGAGATTTCCAGCCTCTAGACACTTCTGAAAACGGGGCAATGCAACAAGGTTGAAAGGAGGTTAAGTCAATCATATCTGAAATACGTATCACCGTATACTGATGTGGAGGTTCAATCACCACAAGCTGCTTCGTCTTCCGGTAGTTAACTGTTCGCTTTTTTTGATATATTACCCAATGACTTCTAAAAATTAGGACTCATTCTTCTACATTTAGATTAAAATTCCCAGAGGAGAAAAGAATATCAGGACAGGAAAGTGATAGGCACTCTTTTTGATTCAAAAGCATTCAAAGAACACGAAAGGGGCACTTATTAGAGCTGGAATGATTTTTTTTTAATGGCAAAAATAAAACACAAATGAATAAACAAAATAGTTCTGTGGGGAGTTAAAGAGAGTCTCTGGAAGCTCCTGGTAAGAAAACGGTTTTTGTCACAGAAGAGGGGGATGATTGAGGCTTCCCTGCAGGAAGGGAGCGTGCAGTTCATTTTCCAGCCCTCTGTCGAGGCATCACCGCAGCTCCGAGAGCTGGCCCTCAGTTTCCTATGGGGACCAAGAAAGAAAAGAAGAAAAGGGCCTTCATAGGACTGTGAGGTCTGGAAAGAACACTCCCCATGTGTCGTTAGGAGTCTGATGGAAAGGCGGGGCGTGGGGAGTCTTCGGTGCCAGGGGGCAGCCCTGACCTGTGCTGGGAGGAAGCCTGCAGGGGAGTCTCCGTCCTGCTGAGGAGGCTGTCCTGCCCAGAGCTGGACAGAGATGTGCAGAGATGGAGGCGGATCAGTGCACCTGGTACAGGACAGCTGATGGATACGCAGTGTCAGCCTCAGGACCGAGGATGCCAAACCACAAGGAGAAACATGCGGTAGCTGAGACCTCTACCAACCACACGCCAATACGATAAAATCTAACTAATTACAGAGAGAAAAATAGTTTCCATCTTCTCAGGTCAGGTAGCAACACTGAGATAATAAATTTACATGCAGCAGCGAGGCTTGTGAGCTTGTTCGTATAACACGATACAGACTCGGGCAATGTTACACACACCAAGGAGTACGACTTACGTATCAGTCCGAATCCGTTTTAAAGTGTCCCTTCAAAGAGGAAAGTGGAGAAATGAACATCAATTTACTCCAAGGCTGAGGAATTTGAGGCTGAAAGAAAATCAGGAGGTATTGTGCAGGGAACCTGAATAAAATCTGAATACTTCTTGTCAGCGAGGAGCGGCCCAAGGGTTTGCAAACCATCAAATACGTGCACGATGTCTGTCAGTTTCTTCTTTGACACGATTGCACGGGGGCACGTGGGCCTAAGGAATAAGACCCTCGGTGCCTGATTGGTTCCTCACTACCATTAGGATAAGCTATGTGGCAGGAGACAGCATTTCAAAGACACGAGAGAGAAAAATCTTAGCTAATGGCAGGTGCAGAAGAATAAAGCCGTTTATATAATCCGAAGACGCGTCTCCCGGGACGCAGGAAAGTAAGCACCAGGTGATAATAATAATACTAATGCCTCCAACACTGCAGCCTACAAGCTGATGCTCAGTCTGCACAGCTGAGAATGATTACTGCACCCTAATAACAAGCCTGGAAACAAGAACTAAAAGTCACCCGAGGGTGCCCTGAGATGTAACTGTGACAGCAGATGAATAAATCAGCTGAGAGACGAATGTGCCCGTTTGCTTTCACGCAGGTATTCTTTTGGACTTGACTGATCTATTTAATAAAAAGTAAAGAAAAGAAACAGAAAGAAAGTCAAAAGTAAGAGAAGTCTGTCTACAGAGGGGTACACAAGCCTGGACTCCTGAAGTGTGCCGGTGGCCAGTCCTTGCACTTCTGCAGGCCAATTGTCCCCAGCTGGGTGATGATGACAGAGCCTTTCAGCTCTGGCTTCTACATGTATAAAAACCAAAAAGAGGAAAAGAGACAAAGCAGAAAATCGATAAACCCTCAAGGCCACCGGTTCCTGCACGGGTTGCACAGCTTATAGTACCAAGGGGTTGTGATATTTAAATAACATAAAGATTTAAGCAATGACAGATGTACAGGCCAGGAAATTTTTATTCTAATAATAGGTAACTGAGCCTAGAATCATTGAAATTGAAAGCTCAAAAAAATTAATTATCGTTGTAATTAGACACAAACAACACAAATTCATTAGAGAACCTGAAAAGACTAATTTTTAGTTCCTCTTGACAGTTATCTCAATGCCATTTCTGTTAATATAATGAGTGCGAGTTTTTACTTATTCAATAGAAATTTCATTGGACATTAATTAAATGTCATGAATTGTTCTGGGTGCTGGAAACACAAAGATGAAGAAGATGTGCTTCCTGCCATTACGGGTCTCACGGTCTAGTGAGGGATACAGAAACATAATTGGATAATCATGAGAAATAAGGTGGGGGATGGGAAGGAGGGGTTCAAAGAGAAGGCTTCTTAGTGAGTGGACACCTGAACTTAACCTTCAAGGACTGCTGAGCAGTAACTAGGTTGGCCAGTGAATGTGGGCCTTCCAACCAGAGGGGCTCCTGTGAACAAAGTCACCGAAGGGGAAACACATACCACCTGATTAGTGCAAGGAACTACAGTTTTTTAAAATTGAGGTATAATTCACATACAGTTTTATATTAGTTTCAGTAATACAACATATTGACTCGATATTTGTATCTATTGTGAAATGATCGCCCCAGTAAGTCTAGTTAACATTCGTCACCAAACATACAGAATTTTTTTCCTGTGATGAGAACTTTTAAGATCTACTCTCTTAGCAACTTATAAATCTTTTATTGTTGATAGAACATAAACTAAAGGGAAAGGGATGCAGCTGGAAAACATGGCAAAGTCCAGATCGTGGAAAGTTCTTTATGTGTTAAAGAGTCTGAACTTCATTCTCTAAGGGTTATGTGAAAATATGGTAAGATTTCAGGTTAAGAGGTAACATGGTCATATGGGTATTTTAAACTCTAATTTGAAAAGATACATGCACCCCAATGTTCACTGCAGAAGTATTTACAATAGCCAAGACATGGAAGCAACCTAAGTGTCCATCGACAGAGGAATGGATAAACAAGATGTGGTACATATATACAATGGAACACTACTCAGCCATAAAAAAAGAATGAAATAATGCCTCTTGCAGCAACATGGATGGACCTGGAGATTATCATACTAAGTGAAGTAAGCCAGAGAAAGACAAATATCATATGATATCACTTATATGTGGAATCTAAAAAAAATGATACAAATGAACTTAGGTACAAACAGAGAGAGACCCACAGACATAGAAAATAAACTTATGGTACCAAAGGGGAAAGGCAGGGGAGGGATAAATTAGGAGTTTGGAATTAACATATACACACTACTATATATAAAATAGCTAACCAACAGGGAACGATACTCAATATATTATAATAACCTATAAGGGAAAAGAATCTGAAAAAGAATAGATATATATGTATAAATGAATCACCATGCTTTATACCTGAAACTAACACAAAGTTGTAAATCAGCTATACTTCAATTTAACAGAAAACGATATGAAGGAACCAGAAGAGGAAGGTGGGAAAGAAAGCAGTTAGAAGGTCATTTCAAGAGTCCAGACAAGAAACATTGAGAGCAAAGGTGGTGGAGACAGAGGGGAAGGGACCACTTCCTGTAATACTTAGAAGACAAAAGTGGTGAGACTTGGTGATGGAGTAGATGAAGATGATGAGGGAGACCAAGGACATAAAGACAAAGGACGCCCAGGTTGAGAAGCTAAAGATGTGACCAACTAAAACAAAACACAGGAGCAGAAACAGGTTTAGAAGGGAAGGAAGTCAATGGAACTCAGGATGTGGTGACTTTGAGATGTCCACAGGACACGTAGGAGGGAAATCCTACACAGGGTTGGACATAACACAGATGACGAGTTATCCACGTGCCAGCGAGAGTTAAACTGAGCATGTGTGAGACCAACCAGGGAAGGTGCAAGGAGGGGATCTGAGGAACCCTGAGCTGGACCTACATTGAAGGGTTGGATAGAAATGGGATATGGGCAGGACAGAGTTCTAGGATAACACAGGAGCACAGTATCTCAAAAACCAAGGGAGCGGTAGGTCCCGATTTGAAGGGAGTGATCAAAACCAGAAATAGCTGAACAGACACTTTTCCTTGAGAAATGACTCCCCTGCATAGGGTTTGAATGAATCTAAAAATGCCTCAGGGGCTTCCCTGGTGGCACAGTGGTTGAGAGTCCGCCTGCCTGTTCAGGGGACACGGGTTCATGCCCCGGTCCGGGAGGATCCCACGTGCCGCGGAGGGGCTGGGCCCGTGAGCCATGGCCGCTGAGCCTGCGCGTCTGGAGCCTGTGCTCCGCAACGGGAGAGGCCACAATGGTGAGAGGGGACGGCGTACCGCAAAAAAAAAAAAAAAAAAAAAAAAAAAAAAGATAAAAATGCCTCAGTCCACAATCATATTAAAAGGACAACAATGAATCTAGGGAAAGAGACCACACAATTCCTCTTCATGAATCTATTTCAAATGCCTAACCTAAAACACCTTCCTCTATTTAAAACATCCTATTTTGTCGTGTCTCCCAGGGAAACAGAATGCAATCTCTTGCCACAACTCAGACAGTAGGCTTCATGTGTTTGATTTAGATGAGTTCTTTCCGAGTTTCTTCAGGCCACTTAACCCAGCTTTTTCAAGTTTTCTGCAGTTTCCCCACCATTTAACTGTTTTTGTCAGCCCTCCGTGGAATTTTGCCAGATTCTCTGCATTTTCTTACCCAGGTAGGACCCCAAAATTGCAGTAATCTGCAGCTTGACAGAGCCGAGTGTATTGTCTGCTTATAGCTCAGCACTGTGCTTGTTTTTACATCCAGAGTCTCCTGACATTGAGATGTTAGAACTGGAAGAAATCCTAGGGCTGATCTAGTCCATTTTCCCACTTACTTAAGGATTTCTCATACTGAACCTCTCAAATGGTTATCCAGCTCAAACTCCAAAAAATACCCTTTCCTTACAGAAGTGTAGTTTTTTCAATTTAATGCATTGTAAAATCAATTTAGTGCATCCATAAGTCACATTTTTTAACTAATAGAATGGGGACTTCCCTGGTGGCGCAGTGGTTAAGAAATGCCTGCCAAAGCAGGGGAGGTGGGTTCGAGCCCTGGTCCAGGAAGATCCCACATGCTGCGGAGTAACTAAGCCCGTGCGCCACAACTACTGAGCCTGCGCTCTAGAGCCCACGAGCCACAACTCCTGAGCCCATGTGCCACAACTACTGAAGCCCACGCACCTACAGCCCGTGCTCCACAACAAGAGAAGCCACTGCAATGAGAAGCCTGCACGCCACAGCGAAGAGTAGCCCCCCCGCTCCCTGCAACTAGAGAAAGCCGGCACACAGCAACGAAGATCCAACGCGGCCAAAAATAAACATACTACCTAAATTAAAAATAAATTTAATAGAATGGATGGATGGAATAGAATAGACTAAGACAGGAAAAGTTTGGATGGAATATCAGAGTCTATTAAATGCACTGAGGACAAATATTTCATGAAATTTCCATTTCCATTTTCAAAGGGGATCTATGTGTGTTTGCAAACTGTATCTCTTACTGGGAGTCACAGTCCAGAACTTTCTACACTGCCCGGCAAGATTACTCTTACCAACTCCAGGAAACCAATTTGCCTATTCTTTACTTCATCAAGCTTAGCTTTCACTTAAATCAAAATGTTCAAGTTGCTGGCATCCATCCAGTTCAACCCTACTCCTGGTCTTTTCTCAGTTAATCTGCTCAATTTAGGCTAACTGTGTAACATTTAACCCACTGATTTTTTTTATCTAAATGAAGAAGGTAAAGAACATCATTAAAAAGTTTCTCCCCTCTTTCTGTCCCTCTGTCTCCCTCTGTCTGTCTGTCTCTCTCCCTCTATCTAACCGGAAACACTTCATTTGCTTTTTTGGCCAGGCTGGGCCAAAAGTGCTTCTGGTGTTGCTACAGGGCATTAGCATCCATGCCTATTTCAGTGCCCCTCTTATGCTGAGACATAGTTCTTTTCTTGTAAATCACGAAGCAGGAGTTCTTCGCAGCTAAAAGACATACCTCCCCCTGCTTCCTAATCTCTCCAAATTCAACTCACCGTAGCTTTTCTGCTATTGTTGCTTTGCTAGCTCTTCACCTTTGGCTGGAGAGAAGATATTCGGCCTGGTGAGCCCCTGCACACCCGAAAATTCTGCTTCGACGCCATCTCCCATAGCAGCCCGGTCACTCTGTATGACTGTCACGGCATGAAAGGGAATCAGCTCTGGGGACATCGAAAGGTAAGGGCCAGCTCGCTGCGGGCAGCGAGCTCTCCAACTGCCCTGCTTACGGTTTTCTGACGCAAAGGTTTTTGGTTTTAACGCATTGTTTTGATTTAAATTGTTACCTGGCCATTTGGTTCATGCATTTGGAGACCACAGCGAAGATGAGGGGAAAGACAAGAGTGTGTAGGAAGGGGCATTGCTTTGGCTTTGCTGGCCGCGTGCACACCCAGCACAGTCAGTTTCGACTTCACATGGCTTTGAGCCAGGACACTAGCCCTACACGGGAAGGGCCTGGTCTCAACCCAGATGGCTCCCAAACGCAGAAGCCATATGCCCTGCAAACAAATGTGCACATGTAGAGTTTTTCGCGACACCGATTCACACACACACAGATTAACACATCTCTTTACTTATTATGCATCTCAGGCTCATTCGCTTGGGAGCTCTCTGGGTTAAGACAATTACATTTACACAAATTCTAATATATTCATGTAGATCTAATTGTTGCAACCTTTATATAGAAAGACCCATTTTTAATCTGGCCAAAATCCTGCCCAAGTATAACAAAGGAAAACTTATTTGGGGAATTTAAAAGTTTAAAGAATTAGAAGGGTAACATTTATTGCTAGAAAAAATAGTTCAAAACTAAATACAAAATCATATTTTATTGAGTTGAGCATTTAAGTAAAGAATAAAGAGCAATTAAATATTTTAAAATATTTTCATGAAGTTATCTTTTGATAGCTTTTTAGAATACAAGTTTTTTCTCAGCTTCTTTGGTTTCTAAGGCAGGACTCGGCTGTCAATTAGCAAGAACTCATAAGTTCCCTTCTGCCCCTCAAGTTTGTAGAATTGCTATGGGCCTCCCCAGCCAGGTGGAAGATGCCCTCTGTTTGCCTTTTCACACTGTGGAGTGATTCAGCCTCACCCCAGACTGTAAGGGAAATGTCCCACCCACCACTTGAATCAGGAGTGTTGGCCAGCCTTGGCTGTGGTAGTCAGTATCCCCTGAAATCACAGAGAGCTGAAGGGGAAGGTCTGCAGAGAATCAATATGGGGACCACTGGTTTTGATACCTGTTCCCTCACTTAGTAAGCTTTCTGGCATCTACCTCTTAGAGGTGGGCACCGAAAATTATACTCAAAGGCAAACTCATTTGTACAAGTTTATTCCGCACACTGCCACCCACCCCTGCCAACATCTGGCAGGTTGTGGAAAAAGTACAAAACACCAGTTGTTATATCCTCTTAAAAAACAATTTAAAATCAAAAGAGCTAATAAGAAGATGGCGTCCGATATGGTACGGGGTGATGGGGGGAAATCAGACAAGAGGAAAACCTCCCTGTTTTCCTTGTGAGATGTATCAGAAATGATTAATCTTGTCAAACCCTTTTGCTATTCAGTATAGTACAGTCCATGCGTGGTGCAATAAAGAAGTGTTTTGTTTTGATGGTTATATGCTGACCGTTAGGAAGTTACTTTCAGGGCACATGGATAAAATACCTGATCTGCCATTTGCCTCGTGTACTGTTGGTCCCCACGGAGCAGACCGTTTCTCATCACTGCTTACAGGGACCCGCCAGGCATGACTGTGCTGGGCTCTTTCCTCAGACCTGGCCTCACGTGACTCTGGTTACACTCACCAGTTAGTTATACAGCAAGCACGATGTATACGTCATCGGGAACATGGCCAAGGCCTAGAATGGAAAGTTTCTGAAACAGCTCATCTGAGGTGATGATTCAGGCCTGTTCAAATGTACCTGCTTGAGAAAGTCCCTTGTCTATTCCAAGGGCTCTTCCTGAGGCACAGAGCGACAAGTCCCTCTGGCGGGTGCTTCCTTGTCTGTTTGGAGGCATTGCTTGGCCCTGGGGGCTTTGGACAGCTTAGCAATCTTTGGAGTTGGCTTTGGGGTCGCCCTTTGTAGCAGCACACTGACGAATCCACGTGGATCCCTGAGACTCTGCTGACTGCCTGAAGGACCCCCGTGGGGCATCTCTGAGGCTCCGTCCTCCTCGTGCTCCAGCTGGTGAGGGTGCTCAGAGCTAGTGCCTTCCACACCTCACAACCAACCACCTGGGCCTGTCACGTACGATCCACAGGGGAAGAAACAGATTTGGGGCCAAGCCAGCATTCAAGCGCAGGTGCATCTGGCCTTGAAGCCTCTCCTCCTTCCTGCGCCCTTAAGCCATCCGATCAATATTCCCCGGGGGGAGTCCTGATGCCTGCTGGATTCTGCATCACCAAGACCAGACAAGCGCTTCTCCCAGGCGCACAGAGATTTCCTGGGTTGAGTAGTGGCTACCGGCGACCTGCCTGAGTGGGGAAGGACGCTGTCGGCCCCGTTTTCTGACCTCTCAGACCTTGTTGGCCTTTTTTTTTTTTTTTCAGGAAGATTTTCCCCTTTTCCCCCAGCTTTACTGAGATAATTGACACACAACACTGTGTAAGTTTAAGATATACAATGTAACGATTTGATACACCTATGAACTGAGAAATGATGACCACAGGTATAGTTAACAAATGCATCACTGTACAGGGTTCTGGGTGTGTGTGTGTGTGTGTGAGGAGAACTGTTAAGATCTACTCTCTAGCAGCTTTCAAGTATACGATACAGAGTTATTCACTGTAGTCCCCATGCTGTGTATTACAGCCCCAGAAACTTACCCAGCTTAGAAGTGGACCACCCTCCATGACCCTCCGCCCCCTTGCTCCCAGTTATTTTTCTATGTGGCTCTTTGCCACCACGAGAAAAGGAAGGAATCCCTATCCTAGGGTCGTGTAACTAGGCTCCTGCCCAGCCATCTCCCCTCGTAGCAGGTACCCAGGGTGAGAAATCCCATTTCCGGTTTCTTTCGCCACCAGGGGGACCCCGGCTACAAGAACAATGACTCGCAGAAGAGACCTCAGTAAAAATACTCAAATCACCAGCCGACACTCAAAACGACATCCGAAACAAGAAACTGTCCCGCTGCCTCCTTAACCCCCTACATCTAGTTGGTCTCTAAGACGTGTGAACCCTTCCCTCTCCTTGCCGTCCCTGTGGCCGCAGCCCCGACTGCAGCACTTCCCAGTCTCAGTCCCGGATTACCGCAAAGGCTGCCTTAAAGGGCCACCCTGCCTCCGCCCCCCCCCCACCCGCCAGCCCACCTTCCATCCTGAAGTCAGAGGGATGCCCACAGGAGCTGGTCATTGCATCCCTCTGGTTTATACGTTACTTGGTTTCCCACCGAGAAGATGAAGTACCTTCTCCCAAATTCTCATCCTGCCTCTTCACAATCTGGTCAAGGTCACAGTGGCTTGTCTGGCCCAAGACATCCTAATTCATCCTGGAACTGTAATGTGATCTCGAGTGAGTTATTTCACATGTGTGATTTTCAACTTCCACGTCAATAAAGCAGAGACAGTAATTCAGTGAGGTAAACTGTGGAAAACTTCCAGCAAGGTTTCTGACCATATGATTGAATTTCCATCCATGTGGGTGACAAGTACACTTTTTACACTGGGAATAGTGGTGAGCTATATCCTGCTGTATAGCAATCTATGCTAAGAAATAGGAACTACTGTTATCCCCCCAGATCAAGAGCTATCTCCCATGTCCTTTTCTAGTAAGGAAACATTTTTATGGGAGTATAACATAAATCTTCATTGGGGTTTCCCCAGATGGAGACCCTGAAGTGAGAATTGGAGTGCGAGTGGTTTATTTGGGAGATGCCCACCCTCCTCCAAAATCGTGGCAGAGAGTAGGGAAGTGAAACAGGGAAGGGAACCAATACAGGGCCTCTGATAAAGCAAGTACCAGCGTGGGCAAGGGGAGACCAAGCCCACGGACACTTCTGCAATGGTCTACCACACATACCGACGGGAAGGAGGTTGGGATATTTCACCACCACCACAGTCAAGTCTTGGCTGACGGCTGCTCCTGGGGGGTGTTTATTCCTGACATCTCTGGGCGGCGGCTCTTACAGATGGAGCTGTTCTAGAGCCCAGAGAACAGAGGCCCTAGAGCGAGATACAGGGGCCAGCTTAAGGAGGTCAGGTCAGCAGGCACTGAAATCCTGGGGCCTGAAGAACTGTGGGCAGACGCTGCCTGAGAACCCAGACCTTCCCATCTTCACCAACACCTGGCACGTTGGTCTCTTTTTCTTTTCCTTTTTCCGTTCTGTGGTTGTAGAGTGAGATCACATGTCTGTTAGCCTTTTTGGAGATCTTCTTTGAGAAGGACCTGTTCAAGTCTGTTGACCGTGTTTTAACGTGGGTTGTCTGACTTTGTTTTTTCTTTTCTTTTCTTTTCTTTTTTTTTTTTTTTTTTTTTTTTACAAATTTTGAAGAGTGTTTGGTACATCTAGGTATAGTGCTTCGTTGGTTTTTTGTAAATACCTTACTCCAGTCAGTTTCTGGCCATTTCTCTCTCCTTGATGAAGAGCTGTTCTTTCCAATTAGTGTTTTCAGTGTCCTGTTTAGGAAATCTTTGCCCACACCAAAGTCAAGAAGGTAGTATTCTAAGTCATCTTTGGAAGCTTTGTTGTTTAATCTTCTGCATTGTGGTATATATTCCCTGGAATAGTTTTTGTTTACATTGTTTACAATGTAAAGTGGGGCTGTTTGTTTCATATTTATATTCGATTGATCAATCATCATTTACTTAAAAAAAATCATTTTTCCCACTGCAGGGAAGTGGCACCCTTGACATAAGTCGAGGGGCCTTATATGCATGGTCTATTTATGAATCCTCAAGTTTTTAACCCTCTGACTAATAAGTCTTAGCCATACAGAAAGTAAACTGATGGGCAAACTTAACCTAATAAGAACCCAAACCCCATAACATCAGTCTTAGTGGTGAAATGTTTCAACTTCCCTCTGGAGACTGGGAATAAAATATAATGTCTGCTACCGTCACTTCTATTCAACATGGCACAGGGGGGCCTTCCCAGGCCATCAGGCAAGATAAAGAAATTAAAAGGTCTAAGAAACAGAAAGGAAGAAATAAAACGGTCTACTCACAGACGACATAGTT